CAACTACCTAAAAAGGAGAAAAAAAACCTGCAGAGTGTGTGGGGGGGGAATGTGTGTGCGCGTGCGTGTAACGTCTGATTTGACTATAGCAGCAAAAAATTGGTCTTTTGTGAATTGATGTGATTTAGAGACGCCTACAAAATAAAAGTATGGCACTTCAGAAAGAGATGAATAAAATATTAGTGTTTTATTGGAAGGATGCCGTGCAGCTGAAAAATTGTAGAGTTTTAGAAATGGAGCAATTGCCTCTTTCAGTGCGGCAGCATGTGAGAGAGTGCCTGGGAAGTATGCTATTTGGCTGCACTTCAGCTCCTACTAAGCCTACCTAATATTTTCTTGCCTCCCCTGCCTTGCTGCTCAGGCTTGGAAAGGAATTTGGGCAAAGTCTTCACTAACAAGACTGGTGACTTGCTTCTTGGAGTGGAGAAAATCTCATCCTTGATAGGATCCCAAATATGTGATTAAATGTCTTCTGTTCCTTGGAGGGAAATTCAATCCATTTTAATGTGGAAAGGTTGAAATGCTAATACAGATCTTTCCAACCCCCATTTCATATGAAAAAAATATTTTCTTGGAATTCTTTTTGGCTCCAAGTAGTGAAGGCAACAAATGTTGCATCCTTAGAGAACATAAATTTCTCTTTTGGAGAAGGTGAATAAATATGGAGGTCATTCAAGAGGCCAAGGTGTATTTTTCTTCCTGAGTATAAAAGTCTTTGTATAAAATTCCATCCTTCTTTGTACATTTGTATTGGAAGTGGCCAATGTTTAACATTCCATATTAGCTCTATGTGCCAATTAAATATTTTCAGTGTAGAAGTTATCCAGATAAAGACTCAATTTTGGTAAAAGGTCTCTGTTCTATCCAAGCAGGTCCATATTGTCTTTGCAGCTGAGTCAGACTGAGTCTTTTATTGTGATTGGAAAAAATATGCCAGTTACTCGATTTCCCAAAAGTTGGGAATTAAAGTTCCTCTTATTAGTCTTCTCCCCAAATACTTTCTTTTTTTTCAGGAAAGAATGTAGATGGCATTCTGATAAAAGAAAAAAAAAACTGTTCAATAGCACCAGAGAGCTATGGGCCACTTCCTTAGTGCTGTTTTGGTAACTTTCAGTGAGCAAACAGAGAAGTTGGGAAGAGAATTAATGGTGAACTGAGAAGTAATTTAAATCTATGTCCCATGGAGAGGGTTGGATGAATAAAGACTCCATCAAGTCCCCAGTCTCTTGCACGGCCCTTTTGAGAATATCATCTCATCCAGTCTGACCTCTGGGTCGCTCCTATGTTGCTTCAATGAGCTGTGTTCCCACTGTGCTTGCCACAGCCCCACAAACAGGTCTCAGAAAATACAAGAGCAAGAGATGTGACTTTGAAATTGTAGCATGGAAAGTTTACGACCATAGAAAGAAGTTCCACTTCACAGAGTGAAGTACTCCATTCAAAGAGGTAGGACTAGAGAAAATACTTATAAATGTTCCTTTTATGCTTGGCTCAGGGCACTGTGCTGAGCTGGGGGCAAATTTTAAAGTGATTGAGCCTGGCTGGGCAGCTTCAATGGCTGGATCATCGATACTATAGCTGGAAAGCAAGGGATGGTTTTACAGTTTTTCTAGCATAGCACCACCTAAGAGGAGTTGACTGCACTGGCCTAGGAATTGCATTAGCTTATGCATATAGAAGGCAATGTCTGAGACTCAAAAATATCCTAAAATACTACACAGGAAGATGAAGTGGAGATTTTACCCAATCCAGAACTCTATGTCATTGTTTTGCACAGGCTGATGTAGTTTTCTTAGTGAACTGGCTGTTGGTCTGGCAAATATCTTATCTTGATCTCTTTAAGAACATCAAAAGGAGAACGTCCCCTTGTTACAGTCATTAGTACATCTTCATATTCTTGTCTCTGGATTTAAATCATTTATCTAAATCTATGCCACATGATTTATGTTTCAGAGATGTTCATCACCGTCCCAGCTGGTGGACTGTTCTGCTAGGTTGAGACTGATAAAAGCTAAAGACAAGATGCTTCACTCAGTCAATCACAAGTGCATATTTGAGGTGATGACCGTGATGATGCCCCGCGGTCCAGAACTGATGACAGGAGAGCTCGACTTCCTGTCTTCAGAGGGATAATGGGCTTTGGGGAAAGCAAAAACCAGCGGCAGAGCTTAACCATCAGAGGTAAGATCCCTATAACATCTGTGCTAGGCGTGAAAGCAGAAGTGACCCACACTTTTCTAGAATGACAGTTAGTCCTCATTTTCCTAAGGGTGATACAGATAGGAGGATAGCTAAGGTGTCACTTCAGTTTTATCAGCAGGAAACAACTAGATTTTGTGAGAAGGCTCACAGCAGTTTCCAGGTCTAAGTCAGTTTATAGACCTAAAGCTTATTGATCGAAGCCTGGTCCCCTTAAAGAAAGCATACACTATTACTATAAACCCATCTATTTGTTATCCGCCTCTATCCCTCTCTATCTTTAAATCCTCCCTTGATCTTTATCTCTTTATTAAGATAACTGTACACACAAAAGAGAAGAATGCCTTGAGTTTTTGAAGCCTCTAAGATACAAAGTAAATTTCCAATCAGGGCCATAACATTCTGCCTCAGTACCATAGTGAGAGTAGAAGCCTGTGGAGACCAGTGAGAAATGGAATTGGGCCAAATCAAATTAGGTTCATTAGGCCCTCAGATCTCTGTAGTCATTTCATTAGCTTCTAAATGTATACTTGGGATTGACATTTTTAGCAACTGGTAGAATTCAGTTTTATTTTCTTATGTGTGAATCAGGACCGCTATATTAAGGAGATACAAATGGGATCACCTGTGACATACTCAGAAGTAATACTTAATTCCTGGAGAAACTGCCAATATCAGTGCCATCTCACACGTTAAATACAGTATCTTAATAATGCAGAGGTGGTAGTTCTTGTCTTAGCCCTTTCCACTAAGTCGTCTGGCCTCCAAAACCCAGGTAGATATTGACAGTGAAGATAGATGGTAAATTTAGTATGGCAGTAACCCAAAGTGCAGCTGTTGTGAAAATGTGGCACGTACACTGGTCAGATCAGCATAGCCTATGTATTTGTGTGGGTAGTTATCAGTTTAGTGAATGCTTTCTTCTTGCTATTCATCTCTAAAAGGACCAAAAGCAAATGCATATAGACCGTAGGGACAGAAGAGCACCTTGTCTTGTGGATATGGGAGGCATGCATCTCCCTCCCAGGCTCCCCCTTCATTCTCTTCTTCCTGTTTGCCATGATGTGAGCAACTTTCCTCTGTCAGACCCTTAAACTATGCCCTTTTCTGCTTTGGAGCCTGTTAACTATAGACTGAATCCTCTAAACTCATGAGCCAAAATGAATCTCTATTCCTTTCAATTGTAGGTATTGAGTGTTTTGTTTCAATGACAAAGTGACTAAAACACACACAATAATCTGTAGAGATTTTAATCGCCTCGATGTTCCCAGGATATCACAATAGCTTGGTACATTTTAAGCATTGTTCTGCATTAACCAATTAGTGCTTACTGGCAAGTATTGTGGATATTCCAACAAAGTATAAGCATTGAAGAGTGAAGAAAGAATCCCTGTCAAGATTAGGATACTTGTTACACTGGTACAGAGAAAAACTTTCAGAGCACAGACTGATGCTTAGGAGAGGGACTTCATTCCTAATCAATGGCTTCAGCCCTTTGCTTTGCTTTTCTGCCATCAGAATGATCACTTTCACTAGAGTTTACAAGGTCTCATGACCTGAATCCAGGCTTCAGTCTATGGCTGCTCCCACCACTTCATGTAGGGAAGGAAAATATCCCTAGAAAATAGGATATTGAGCAGTATTTCTTATTGCCCAATTTGAGAAATGATTTTGCAAAGCAATTTAGACAAGATCAGGAGCATTCAGGGTGGTATGGCCATTCAAAGCAATTTAGGATTTGATGCAAATAAGATTCAATTATTGATGTCATGGAGTTTGGGGAAAGTTATATGAATGCATTTCCCAGAATGTAAAGGATATTTGTATCCCATGTGAAAGCCCATGAGAAGCCTTTGCTACAAAGCTCTTAATAATTAGGAAGACATCAGTCATCTTCTTCCTTAATTAGCTCAGGAGCCACAGTGTCTACAGAGGCAGCAATATAGGTTGTGCATTGCATAAGAACTTGGACTTAACCCCTTCAAGTCTGACTTAGCTTCTGTTCTTCTGTTCAGTTGGATTACAAGTGGTGACCATCTCTGAGCCCCATGACAACATACCTTATAGTGGACAATAGCCAATTCAGGTTGACTGGTAGAAGTTATTAGACTTTATTTTCATCCCCAAAGTAGTTGCAACCTTTTCACTGAATGTATAGTTTGGATTTAGGCTTTTTTCCTCATTCATGATGCCTTTTCCAATAATAGCATCTGTGGGTTTCCTATACATGGACATGCTTTGTCAGTCAACATTTTGTCCTTGTCTTGGCTACTTTTCTCATTGCTGAGATGAAATACCTAACCCCCAAACTAAAGGAGGAAAAGTTTATTCGGCGCACAGTTCATAGAGGTTTCAGTTCATTTTCAGCTGGCTCCGAGGCAGGGTGGCATGATAGAGGGGCATCACAGGGAATAAACAGTCCATGGCAAAGCAAGGCAGGCAGAAGGCAGCAAGCAGCAAGTAAGCAACAAGTGACAAGCAATAAGCAGTGACCCTCTTTCTGTCCCTTATATTTCATCCAGGCTACCACCCTTAGGGTAGTAGCATTCATTCATACCTATGGTGGGGCAGCCTTAATCCTAGCATCGCACCATGAATCAATCCCAGCATTACATCCTTGATCTCAACAGCACACACCCCAGATCAAGTCATCTCTCAAAAGCCCCATCTATGACTGCATGAATCTTTGGGGGTCATCTAGATACAAGTTATAACACTCCTGAACAAATAATTCTCTTTGTGGTAAAATAAACAAAATCATTAACAGATGCCCATAGTTTTCATTGGTTTTATCGTGTACCCTCAAATAGTAACCCACATGGAGCAGTGGAGTCCCCTATCAAATATTTATTGGAAGAGAATCTCTTACAATAATGATGTAATTGAACCTATTTGTCTAGGAGAAACAGGAAGGAATGTGCTTAAAACCTTATGTGATCTTAATATGAGCAGGCTTATTGGCTCTTCATAAGAAGAAGACCAAGGATTCAGATATTTTTAGGAATGGGGCTTTAGGTTTTTTTAAAAAATTAAAACAATAACAGCAACAACAACAAAAAACCATGCAGTTTTCCAATTTCATTTATATTCCAGATGTGATGAAAGCTCTGAGTGTTATAGGAACTGAATGATTGACTGGCCTAGAAATGAGAGCTTAGCTTCAGTTCTTCTATAACAAAGCTGGATGATATAATTTTTATTTTCTTCTCCACTTGTGGGATTATAAAGCATATGTGAACATGTTTTGAATCCATGAAGGAAAAAGTTAAAATTGTTTCACAGAACCATTTTTAGAAGAGGCATATTAATAGGAAGAAGTTACATAGGTATTATATGAACAAAATAGTAGTCTGTAGGAAAATTTCCAATTGTTCGATTCCAAACTTTCTCCCTTTAGTTTTTCCTCACTCTGAAATTACTAGAGATAGCTATTTCCCCTCGCCTCTCTTCAGAACATAGGGCATAGGATATAATTTATATAACTGATTCTCTGACTCTGGGAGGAGGACCCAACTAAATACATAGCAAGTTAGTCAACTTTCCATTACTGTAACAAAATACCTGGGAAAAGTTTTGAAAGTTTCATTCTAGGGCTATTGCTTTTTGGTCAGTAGAGAGGGCAGTACATCATAGCCAAGCCAGCTGCTCATCTAAGGATGGACAGCAAGCCAAGAGAGAAAGAGGAGAGGCTAGAGGTCCACTATTCTCTTCATGGTCATACCTCCAATAACCTAACTTCCTCTGCCTAGGTCCTGCATCTTAAAGGTTCCATCACTTCCACCATAGCCACGGGCTGGGGACCAAGCCGTCCACACATGAATACGGATCAAGCTTTCAACATCTAAATGATACCACAAAGGAAAAAGAATTTTTGTGATAGCAGTGAGAAGCAAGAAAAAAGTTGCAGGGGTGAGTACTCAGTAGCAGAGATGCTACTGTCATCTTAATTATGATGTGACCTTCTCTCTGTGTGTATGTACCTATTGTTTTTAGATTAGTGTCTCAAGAAAATAATTTTTAAAAATAATAATAGTAAATTACAATTCACAGAAAGTTAAAATTTAAAATTAAAAAGAAGCACATGAGCCTGTGTTTCTGAAAAGCCTCTGAGAGATGCTGATAGTATCAGTGCATAGATTCACTCTGACCAGAGCTAACCTCAAACATGAGACACAGATGCATATTTGCATACATGGATTGCGATGTTGTATGCCAGCTTCCATCATGTACCATTTATCGCCTGCCATTTCTACCTCATCCCATGCAATCCAACCATTCCAGGTCCTTTGTAATTTATACAAGGCAAACCTCCTATGCTGTGGAGCTGTGACCCCATCAAGCTACGTGCTCTCAATCACCTATGCCTTTATCCTGCTCCGTCTGCTCAAAAGGATCTCATCCTGGAGATGTTGTTGCTCTAAATGCTTTCCTGACTTTTCCCAGCTCAGCATTACTTGTTCCTTCCTTTGTTGCTCAGAGAACACACTTTTGGTGTTGTCTCTTCTTTGTTTGAATGTTGGCCTCTCACACCAGATGGTGAGCTATCCTGGAGTTAGCGTGGGTGCACCCTTCATCGGTACAGCCTCCCCACAGGTGTCAGCCATGGGCAAGACACCAGCAAATGTTTCTGGGGCGAATTGATAAAAGACAGAATGATTGGGTATACAAATGAGTAAATAAGCCAAAGATGTAAGGCCACATTTCTAGAATGTGCTAATCCTTTAGAATATCCATTCTCTTCTTGAAACCTTGAGCATATTCTGTACACACATACTTGCACATACATTTATGTGCATTTTAAAAGCAAACAGCATAATTTAAGAAAAGATGAACTAAAAATAAGAACATGAATAAAAGGTTTTGCTTTCTATTAGCATGCAGCAGTAGAATATTTTGTGTACCTCAGGGTGGAGAACATCTAACCCACCTCTGAGTTCCGTGAGCTAGAATAATAAGGAAAGTGATTTAATTTACTAAGGGATAAAATTCACTTAAATAGTAGTTTCATGCCTAGGAATAGGAAGAAATAAACAGTGAGGAGAGCAATAGGTCCAGATAAATATAGGACTTTCAGAGTCTTGGATTCCTCTGAAGAAAGCCAAAAATTGTACAGATTTATATAAAACACAGTGCAAGAAAACTCAAAGCTCACTGGAAAAGTGTCTTCTCCTTGGAAAACTAGTGGTTGAATTATGACCCCAAATTGGAAAGAAGCAAGGAGCAGGTGGCCCAAGAGGATAATTCAAGGCCCATTCTAAATCTACCCTGGCTGAAAAAGGAGACACTTTATTTAGCATTAGGTAGTTTGAAGTTTGAGATTAATAATGGTCTTCCACATAGAAGCCCTTTTCTTCTATTTTCCTTTGTTTCTGAAATTAAATAGTTAATTAACTCATGTCCCTGCTAGATAAGGGGAAAATGGATCAAGAGCAAGACCCAACCCCAGGGTAGAAGCAGGAGCATTCAATCAGGCTGCTAAGGGCAAAGGGCTGGGATGAGTAAATCCAGAATTCTCTCCAAATTCAGGGTAAGGGATTCGCAGAGCACAGTGGGCTGCATGTTTGTGGCCCCTGTCCATTTATTGAAACCTCACCCTCAAGGTGATGGTATTAGGAAGTGGGATGTTTAGGAGGCTGTCAGGTCATGAAAATAGAGCTAATTGTATAATCCTACAGGTAGTAGGATTAGTGTTCTTGCATGAGGTTGATTGAAAATATGGTGTGCAAGGTGTAATATAAAACCACAGCAAATGCTTACACTAAAAAGTATTTATTAGAGTAAAAGACATATTCCCCTTAATCCCCTCAAAAAACTCCCATTTGCTTCAAACACCTTCATCCTGTCCTTCTCGACACTTTCTGAAGCAATTCTGGAAGTCCTCTTTCATGAGTGTCTTTATGAAGTATGATAAAAAATACAGTGAATGGCATGGTTTATAGAAACCACAGAAAAGAGGATTTATAGAAACACGATGGGATGTCCTCATCTACCTAATTGAGCCATTCTGTCACCGTGTGACTTCTGGGTCTTCCCCAAAGTCAAAATGACCATGAAACATTAGCATTTTTAATCTATTCAGGATATTGAAGCAGCCACAACAGTGCAATTCAAGACATTCAGGACAGGGCTTCCAGAAGTGTGCCAGGAAGTTTCAGAAATGCTGGGATCAGTATGTTTGAAGTGAGGGGGTTCTTGGAGAGTGATTCATGACCACGTTCCTTTTACTGGAATAATTTCTTGAAAAATCTAAACCTCCACTATATTTTCTATTACATCTCATAAGAGATCCCAGAGAACTTGCTAGAGTCTTCCATGCAGGAAGAAGTTAGCATCTCTCAACCAAGGAAAACACCTTCCTTGGGCATCGAATCTGCCAGTGCTTTGCACTTGGACTTTACAGCCTCAAGAACTGAGAGCAATACATTCCTTCTGCGTATAACCAATGTGTTTTATGGCATTTTTGTTATGGAAACTCAAATACACTAAGGTATTGTGGAAATAAGCTAGGCAGATACTCCCCAAAGGGGCCTTACTGTGCACATGTATTCCACACTACAGAACTGGGTGTGCCCCAGGGGGACCCACTCCTGTATCTTCATTTCCCCTTCCTCTGTGTCCAGCACATCAAGGTTCCTTGGAAACACATTGCTCCCTCTGGAATGGTACAAGGTTTGACCCGAAGCTATACTGAACTGAACGGCTACATTTAAAAAATGTATTACACCGCCTAGCAAGTGTGAGGTCTTGAGTTCAATTCCTGGTACCAAAAAAAGCAAAAACTGTATTATAGTAAAAGACACATTGCCATGAATCCACCTCAAAATACTTCCCCTTGCTTCAAACACACTTATGCCACCCTTGTTGCCACTTTCTGAAGCAGTTCTGGGAGTTATTTTTCACAAGTATCTTTAGTTGCAATGTTTTCCCTGCCTCTATGTCCTGAATCTATTGAAAATGTTTCCTTTCGTGTTCATTTTGTCTTTGGGGAAGAGCCAGAAGTTAAGCATGGAGCCAGATCCTATAAATAAGTTGGATGAAGACATGCCATCATATTTTTAAGAGCCTCCCTTTCTGTTGGATGGCACTCGGCAGCAGCACTCAATGAATTTTGATCATATTTCATTAAGACATTCACATAAGAGGACTTAAGTCCACTGATTCAGCAGAAAAAACAAAACAAAACAAAAACCTGGCTCAGAAAGTGGAAAGAATGGTAGATTAAGCATGCTTGAGGCAAAGGATAATATTTTGATCTGAATTAGTGGTAATGCATCTTTTACTGTAGTAAATACTTTTAATTTAGACATTCATGCATATATTTCCATCACATCTCGTGTGTGCTCTGTCCTTGATAAGCCACAGCTCCTGGCATAGCAGTAATTTTCTTTGGAGGTATGTGTAGGTGAGATGTGATGACCTTGGAGAGTAACTCTGGTCTCCAAGATACTGTGTGGTGTAGACACCTGTGTGAGAATACAGCAACAGCATTTATACCTTAATTTGGACAGGGCCCCTGCAGGAGACTTTTGAAAGGTGCTTTGTGTTGGTTTCCATCCACTGTCTCCTCCTGTCAATGGGATGATCATTGATCCTTAGTTGTTCTCTGATGAGATCCTTCTAAAACTAACCCTAAGTTGCTAGAACTCTGGGGAACCAGCCCTGTGAGCTCAGCGCAACCTCGGCCTCGATCGGGAAGGTGGTACCAGGTTGGTCCAGGGTCAGGTGCAATTTCCTCAACTTGTTCTCTTGTTCACCTGCTACAATGAAGATCTCTCTCTCTCTCTCTCTCTCTCTCTCTCTCTCTCTCTCTCTCTCTCTCTGTCTCTCTCTCTCTTTCTCTCTCTTTCCCCCTCTCCCTCCCCCCACTCTCTCCCCACTCTTCTCAACTCAGTTGATAAAAATATCTTTCTTTTTTTCCTCACTGGAAAGTGTCCTGACTCTGTCTTCTGAAGTCTGCAATGATCTTTGAGTTATAATTAGGCATAGGTAATTGTCATGGCTGACTCTTGCTAGTTTTCTCTCATAGGCATTGGGAAATCTCCACACTAATATTGATGAACCCTGTTCATCTCTGAAAGCATTAGGGTCCACTGTGTTCCTAACAGCTGAGTTGGTTATTATGAGAATTGATTCTGGATCCAGGTAGCCTGGGTTCAAATTCTACCCAAGGTATGCAATTTTGAAATAGGGCTCATAAAAACAGTTCCTTCAAGAACTCTTGTGAGATTAATTTGAGATAAACTACATACTTTGAGTGCTTAGAACAGTGACTAATACAGAGTACACACACTAGTAAATGTTGGCTGATATTATAGTACTTCATACAGTGTCCTATAATCACTGATTTTCTCCTCTGCCTCCCTGACCACATCAGAATAATTTCTTTAAGGCCAGAACTATATCTTATGTATTTTTGTGTTTCTGGTCTATGCACAGGGATTGGGAAGGAATAGATTTTCCATAAATGCTTGGAGCATGGATCAATGAAACTAGAGTTTGTTTAGGAAAGAAGCTTTAAACAAAATTTTACTCATTTCATACAGGGTAAAATCTACTCTCCAGTTTTATATACTCGCCCCATGCCGCTCTCTAATCATTCTGACTGGTGATCAATACCACTCAGGCTTATTTTTCTAATATCTTATTATAGATCATATGATCCTATTCCACTTACTAGGTACTCTAGCTTTCTTTGTGTGGCTATAACAGGATATCTAAGCGTGGAAAATGTACAAGAAACAGAGATTTTATTTTTATAGCTCTAGAGGCTGGAAGTTTAAGTCAAGGGATTTGTGTACAGCAAGGGCATTCTTGGTGCATGGTACCATGATGAAAGACAGAAGGGAGAGGAGTGGGGAGGAGGAGACGGGTAAGAGAGGGGCCTATGTTTCTATCAGGAGGTT